TGAGCATGGATATAAAGTCATCAGGTAGATTTCAATGGTAATATTTTTCACATCTACTAATTAACATGAAGCAAATTTTTATGCCTCTTCCTCAAATATAACTCATTTTTTATTGATTTTTTGTGTCTTTCATAAGAACATCCCAAACAATCTTATTCATCTCTATACTCACATCCCAAGTGGCACCCTCCCATAGCCTTCCCCCAACTGGAGCCCATATACTCTGTCATCCCTGTTATAGCCTACTGTGTTGTCAGTGCCCCCAGCCATTCCCTAGTGCTTGTCCATCTGCTTAGTCTAGTCAGCCTATCTGTAGTTCCTTGTTTTAGGGAGATCAGCTGTTCCTCATCTAGCAGCAAGCAGTTGCCAATATTCCTTTAGATAAGATTGAGGCCTGCTGTTCATTTTCCCAATTCTATGCTGGGTCACTCTCTGGGAGTGTCTTGGGCTACCCTGGCCAACAACTCAAAGGAAGGTATCTCCTGTCTGGAACTGTTTCTTGTTATGTAGCCTTTAGCTATACACATGGACTCTTAAAGACTTATATTGATCCCTTTAATCTTTGGTTATGTTTTCCTTTTGGGTGTTTAAGACCATGCAGTTGTCCTAGATAAACCAATTTATTTTTACTCTGAAGGTCATTTGAGGATCTGTTCCCTCAGGGGTTACATGGGCTTGGGAGGAGCCCCTGGCTCCTTTCTTTTATCAGTTCCATCTATGTGAAGATAAGTCAAAGGTCCTGCTCGACCATGGATGGCTTCACTTGGAAGCATGGAGGAAATGTTCCCTCTGTGTTTTAAGGAAAGATGAAATCAAGAAATTTGCAGGTAAATGGATGGAACTAGAAACTGTTATACTAGGTGACATAACAAAGACTCAGAAAAAACAGGCATGTATATTCTTCTTCATTTGTGGATCTTATCACCAAATCCTTATATACCACTATATATCCTGATCTAACCATAGGAGCCAGGAAAATGGAAAGGAACTGTGGTGGCAAAGGGAAAGAAAGAGCCCAAGAGAGGGGAATAGTAGAAAACATATGTTACCAAGGAGAAAATGGGTAAAATGGGGGTATTCAACTGGGAAGGGAGGAGAGAAGGGCATATAAAGATCCATGGGCATAAAGGAAAAGAAGGAACTCAAGAGGGGGATAATAGGAGAAATGGGGGAAATGGGGATGTTTTAACTGGGGAGGGAGGGGGGTTAGACAAGGAGAGAGAGAGAGAAGAGATGAGTAAAGCTTAGGTGAAAAACCAGAGGAAAATGTGTTATCTCAAAAACCTACTGAAAAATACTCTTACAATATCTGAACATGATTATATGTGTATACCTGAAGGATACATAGGAAGAAACACAGTGAGGCACAGGAGAAACCTCCCTTTGAGTTGTTCAGGGTAGTCCAAGAGACTCCCAAAATAACACAGGCTATTGCCACAATCCTTGATTATCTCCCAGAACTTGAAGGTAAGACCCTATTTCTTTCTTAAGATAGGACATACTTCAGACACAGGACTTGGATAATAGAACTAGAACTCACCTGGGAAGCCTCCTCCCTGAAGATTAGCCCTCATAGCTCTAGAGGATACTATGCAAGCTGCTATGGGAGAAAATCAATCAATGGTTCGACCCAGCTTCAAATTCTAATAACCACAACAATGCCCAGCACAACAAACTGTAGTGGTGGAGTAGTGGCACTATTATCTTGAGGGTAATCAACAGCTATGTAATTGGACTTAAAGCCCTCTCAGTGAGGGAGCACTCATGTGTGGCACTGTAAAGAGCCAAATACATGTGACTGGAGTGGCAATAGATTATATAGAAAACACCATTTCTCTCATATCTCTAGAGAAATCTAATTTCTTACTGTATGCCAAATAAGGATCCTTATATTAACAGACAAGTATACCTTACATCAAGGAAGTTTCTTTTTGCAACAGATAGAGATTATTACAGAGTTCTGCAGCAAATCACACACGGAGAATATGTATTTGAGAGATGCCCAGCCCCAAGTGACACATATACAGTGGAACCTTTACACCCAAGGTTCATGGAACATAGCAGAACAGGAGTTGGAGAGAATATGAATGCATCCCTCAACTTTTACCAGTGAAAATTCCTCATACAACAGAGTGTGATGCACACAGAAGGCCATAATCAGCCAAGGTATAGCAAATAAGAGACTGTGGAGTGTGTCCCTGGATAGGACTCCTATATTAAATCTCACCTACCCATGGCTCAGAGACCATTGCCAAAAAGAGAGGGTGGAAAGATTGTAAGAGCTTGTGTTGGTGCACGAACATAAGGAAACAGAGGATTTCGGGCCTCTTGGAATTTGCTCTTATGAATTCGAAGCAATGGTGACAGTGTGCATGAATCCCAGGCAAACTCAGTCAGGCAAAAACCCAGCATAGACCTGTGGAAATGGACAGGAGGTCCCAACCTTAGCTGAAGAAGTATTGGCCGCTGATTACTGCTGGCTAAGGGAGAGTTGACATTTTTCAAGGTAGTGACTCTAGATTAACTGAGTAGACGCCACTGGATGAACTTGCACTGAGGGACACCTGGGTACAAAAGTTTGAACAGATAGGCCTTAACATATATAACAGAATGCATGAAATCTGGTGGTAGAGAGTTATGGAGGTGTAGGGATGGGCAAAGCAGTCTAAATATGATTAAGATTTATTGTATGAGATGCACATATACATTTAAAAAGGTGTTAGAAAGCCAGGTGTGGTGGTGCACATCTTTAATCCCAGCACTTGGGAGGTAGAGGCAGGTAGATCTCTGTGAGACTGTGGCCAGCCTGGTATCCATAATGAATTCCTGGCCAGCTGAGGCTACAATGAAACCTTGTCTCAAAAAGACAAAAACAATTAGATAGGAGAGTGGGGGAGAGTAGTGGGGTAAATAGCAATAGTCAATGACACACATCAATGAAAATGTCAAAACGAAAGCCATTATTTTGTATGTTAACTAAAACTTTTGATTTAATAAAAGTTTAAAATCTCTGTTCTGTTGGGACCCTTGTGAATCCCCAGACTTTGGAGTTTTCCTAGGCCTGCCTTGCAGAGATTTCTTATACAGTAGATGGTGGTTAACACAGAGAACTACAACTGGCTAACATACAGTGACTCAGAGGCTCCAGACTGCTTATTGCTGGCTATATAGTTCACCTTTATCAAACTTCTGCCTCCCTAGGGCTCAGGATCATTGCAGAAGAGGAGGAAGAAAGATTATATGAGACAGAGGTGATGGATAAACATAAGGAAACATGTCTAGACAGCTGGTCAGAATGTACAAGTCCCATGTAAGCTCAAACAGACAAAATCCTAGCATGGAAGTGGGGAAGTGGGGAAAAACCCACAACCCTAACTGAGGAACTATTGCTAACTGATGGTTGCTAGGAAAGGGAGAGTCAATCTTGTTTAAGGTGAGACTCTTAATAGGTTGACCAGGCTCCAGTAGATGAACCCACACTGAAGGGCTTTTGGGGACACAAACCTGACTCTACGGGCACATATATACACATATATGTATATATGTATTAAAATATAGAAATCTGGTAGGTGTTAGTGGAGCAGATATAGGAGGGGATCTAAATATGATAAAGTATATGAAATTCACAGAAATTTAATGAAAAATTAATTTTAAAAAGTTTAAAAATTTAGGGATGGGGAGATACTCAGTTGGTAGAATACTTGCCATGCAAACATGAAAATACAAGTTTAAATTCCCTGCACTCCTGTAAAAAACTGGGTGTGGCAGCCTGTAACTCTAATCCCAGCACTGAGAGGTAGAGACAAGTAGATCCTGTAGTTCTCTGGTCAGCCAGCCTTACTTTATAGATGAGCTCCAGGTTTAGTAAGAAGCCCTTTCTCAAATAATAAAGCAGAGAGCAACTCAAGAGGATACCAGTATCACCCTCTGGCCTCCACAAAACACGTATACATATGTGTATGTGTACCTACATGCACATATATACTCACAAGTATACACATAGACTCCACACACACCAAAAATAATGAAAAACCATTTGAAAAATCCAGTTACACTTATTATTATAAAAACTGATGAAATATATAAGTTGTAAGAGGAGAAAATGGGTTTATTTTTAATGTGAAAGCTTTAATTAAACAAAAGTGATTTTCAAAAATTGCTTTCAAGTTGGTGGTGGATGAAACTACAGACAATATTTAGGAAAATCTGAAACTTCAATTGCATTTTCCAGTCAATTTTCTTTCAAAATATTTCTGTGCTTTCTGGACTCTACAAAATAATTGTTCTCAACTCTGGGTGTTCAGAACTAACTGGAAGTTTTTATTTATTTTTTTAACAAAAAATGTAAATTTGTACATAAAATATGATCATATTTATGGTGTTCCATGTGACATTGGATACATGTACAAATTACTTGGTGTTCAAATCAAAGTTAACAAATTGATTTCCTCAAACATACTTTTTTTGTGGTAAATACATTCAAAATCCTCTTCAGTTATGGGCATTTTAAACAAAATCAGACACTGAGTCTTTTTCAGCTTTGTGACATTGGTTTTTGAGGGATGGGGCTTGGGCAGATTTTAAAAGGATTCCACCCAGAGTTAAATAAACATTGTTTAGAGAAGCTGATACAGGGAAATACAGATGACAGATTGAAAGAGCATTAGAAAATTTCAATTGTGGGTAATCAATAAAATGCCTATGTGTTTGCTAATTTTTATAGTTCTCTACTTGAACCAAAATGTTCAGTTAACTATCAGTTCTGGTCTTGTAGAATGAGAGATCATACATTCCTTGAATTCCTTGAAAATATTAATGTTTTATATTGGAAAGGAATATTGAACTCACCCAATAAGCTAATATGAAGACATTCACTTGCCTAGCAATATCTATACAGGTGAAATATACTTTTTCTTCCCTGCTAAGAAGGGAAGAAATGTCCCTGCTGTGGATGCTGAACTAACAACCTTATAAGATTCCAAGTCCCAGCTGCTACTCACCTTTTCTGCACGTCAGAGGATTTGAAATGGGAGGTGTCCAGGAGTCTTTCCTGCATGTATACCTTGATGGCCCAGCAACAACAAAGCCTTTGGGGCATGTCAGCTCAATGGATTCACCAATCTTATACACTCTTTGAAATGGCGTGAGCGTCAGTCCTTCCTGCGCAACTGGCTTGAGGCATTCAGTCTCTACAGAGAGAGCAGTATTTCAGATGTATTCATTGGCTCAGAATACTCAACAAGTGAAAGCAGATTTTGTTTTTCCAAATGAGTGATGCCAGTGAGATGTACTGCATTTGTTCAGTGGTGGTACCTCCTTTTAATCAGAGGATCTTTCAGTTAAAGCTCTCCAGCTTTTCTTCAGAGACTCTATGCAGAACACCACCTTAGTTTTGACATCTAAGGTTTACCTGTCGAAGAATTAACTCCAGACACATTCAACTTTCATTTTATCTTTGGGATCTTTATCTTTCAAAAACTAATTTCATTTCCTCTCCTACCTTTTGGGTTTTTCTTAAAGCAAGTTACAACACTGTGAGTAACAAACACGGGGCCTTCTAATTGATGTTGTTCTCAATGCTACTTAAGTGGTCGCATGTTGTTGGGGTCCCTTTTGAGCCTTGTATGAGTCTCAGTATCTCAGTATTTGATTTACCATAACATGGGTAGGCACAGGACATAATAAGCTCATTCATTCTTTTTCGGAAAATGATGTGAACATATCCCAAAGAACTGTGCTGAGGAGATAACAGTATCTCATACAAATCCCAAATCTGATATGTGAAGAGTCTATGTACTATCCTTTTTGGATTCACTCATTTGTACTGATTTGTACAACAGGCAAGGCAGATGTCTGTGGCTGGGTAATCTCTCAGGTTTCATGCATTCCTTTTTAAGGGCATGCTTCATAGTGTGATGTGTGTGTGGCTACTATGAGGGAAAGAGAACTGAAGGATGAGATGGTCTGAGATCTAGCTTTAGCCCCATTTACTACTCTGCTGTCTTTTCACCATAGTTACTAAGAAATAGTAAAATGAACTGAACAAGGATGTGACTTTGCTCTATTTATCCTGGGCACATTCATTCTGCAAGAGAGTCACACAAATGCTTGCCCAGTTCTCACGTTGGCATTCCACATCCCCTTTCCACCAGGTCCTGTCTGGTAAGCATCTGAAGTACTGGTATCCAACAGGCTGGAATCCAGTAAGACATGAAATTTCAACTTCTTCCCCAACCGAGTAAAGTTTCTTTTCATTCTAGAATTAAAACAGAAACAAGAAATTCTCAGTGGATGAACTGTCATCTCTAAACCTCTCAGGGCTATTGTGAATTCTGCCCCTTCCATCCTCTTCCCATCCACTCAGACATACAGTCTCTTAAATTCTACTGTTAAATACACCCAAAATGTCTTCCTCCTCATTATCCATTCATAGCATCCATTATTTCTTACCTGTCCAGCTTTCTAGCTGGTCATTCTCCAAATTCATTTTCCATGTTTCTGCTCTAAATTGATTATAATTTTTGTACTTAAACACTTGCTTTTTGGGACTCATTCAGTAAAGTGCTTGTTGTACAAGCATGAGGACCCGTTTGGACCCTCAGCATCCATATAAAAGTCAGATGTAGTGGCACACATCTATAATGCCAGCATTGGTGGTGAGTGGAGACAGGAGATCCCTGGAGCACACTGGCCAATTGATGAGCTCTGGTTGAGTGAGAGAGACCATATCTCAAAAAAGTAAGGTGAACAAAAATAGAAGACACTTAGTGTTGACCTGTGGTCTCCAGGCAAACCCATATGCGTACACACACACACACACACACACACACACACACACACACACACCATACATCACACACACACCAAACAAGCAAGCAAGCAAACAAGCAAGCAAGCAAACAAACAAGAAACACTCTATCTTCACTGTATATGGGATACCTTCTGTTATGGTTTGAATATGAAATATTCCCTACAAGCTTATATTTTGAAAACTTCATTCTTAGATGATGATGCTGTTATGCGAGGTTCCAGAACCTTAAAGAGGTGGGGCCTACTAGGAAGAAGTGAGCTCCTGGAGTGCAGACCTCATAGGTTATAGCCAGGTCCCACTTTCTGCATGTGCTCTGTGTGTCTCCTGGTCTGTGGAGATGTGAGCAAGCCTATTTATGCCCCCACATCATGGACAAGAGCCTCTCTGCTGATGTCTATTCAGCTGTCCTTCCTCACCCTGACACTGTGAGCCAAAATACATCCTTCCTCCCTCATGTTGCTTCCACCCAGCATTTCCTCACAACAGTGAGGAAGGTGACTACTATCCCCATTATTTCTGGAAGAGGAAACTGTGCTGACAATGTTATGGCTCTACACTGAATGATGCATCCTGCATTTATAACAAGATTTTCAGTTTTTATTGTGACTAACTGACTACAAATCACTTAAAAAAACATTACTCATTTCCTAGTAACCTGTTGGTCATTTTGCATCTTCCCGGCTGCTAAAGGATAAAGAGCTGCCAAATTCAAGATGAAAATGGATCTTGCACTTCTTAGCTTAAATCACCCATGCTACCATCTTCATCTCCTGTCATTTCTTTTCATAAAACCTATATTCTAGAGAAACAAAATCACCTACTGCTCTTTGAGCCTAAGTCTCTTTTGTGTCTCCAAGTCTTCCATTAGCTGTTCCATCTGTCCTCCAAACCTTCTCTTTTCCTTTCTCTCAAGACCCAGATTGTACAGAACACACTCTATGAAGAGGATGCTGCTTCCCCAGCTTCATAAGGTACACTGTCCTTTCAGCCCTGAAGCAACTCGCACACTCACACAAAGCTTCTTATAGACTTCATCACATTTATCTGCTTTGATGTTGACACAAGAAGTAACTCCACACTAGGTTGAATTCATTCTCTCTCTCTCTCTCTCTCTCTCTCTCTCTCTCTCTCTCTCTCTCTCTCCTCTCCCCTCTCCTTCTCTCCCTCCCTCCCTCTTCTCTCCCTTCTGTCACAAACACATCTCTTTGCAGAAGCCTTAGTAGCTCTCTGAAGCTATGCAAAGCACTATGCTTCTTGAGGGAGCTTTTAATGGAGCACTGTTGATTTACCAAGAATCAGAAGAATGCTGAGCTTTGACTAGGAAGTTCTTCCCAGAACTGAGCTTGGAAATTTTAGAGAAGGTGACCATTCAAATCAACTTCTGGTATGAGTTGTTCATGTGATTTAAACTTGCCTCCTTATTGGATACAAAAAGACTATCCTTCTATTGGCTATTATTGATATGTCTTTGTTTGCAAGGGGTGTGGACCAATGACAGATATTAATAATTTGGATATTTTATTAATTGCATACTTTAAAAAGTATTGAATTTTTATTTTTGTGTGTATATGTATGGTGTGTGTGTGTGTGTGTGTGTGTGTGTGTGTGTGTGTGTGAATGCCAGGGCATGCGTGTGGAAGTCAGAGGACAACTTTCTGGAGTTGATTCTCTCCTTTCATCATAGATTTCAGGGACTGAACTCAGTCCAGCTTTCATGGTCAGTGCTTTTGTCTCTGAGCCATCTTGCTGTCTTATGACTACATACTTTTATTCATGCATTTATCTTCAAATAAGTTATAGTTTTGATGCCTCCATTTCTTTAATGAAGAAATAACATATAAGTATGTGTTACAGCCACCTTTCTTAGAACACATACATGCTGGCATACATGCTGGACCAGCTCTGTAAGTAATCTTTACCTTACATTACTTCATTTGTCTTGGTTCTTATACAGATCCCCTCAAGTGCAACAATGTGATTGTTCTGAACTCAATTTAGAGGCAGCTGCCTCTGTCTGAACTCCCACAAGAAGAACTTGCTACTAGAAATTCCAGAAGGTGCTCATTAGGAAAAATTAAGGCTGTGTGACTTGAGAGTAAAAATTACACATAGAGATCAGGGCTTAATAAAGAACAAAAAATGGAGTGAATTTATTTGTGAAAATAAAAAAATTTCTATGGTTTGAATGTATTCTAAAAACTTCAGTTTACATTTAATTGCTAATGTGATCCTGTTGGGTCTCTGCCCTCAGGAGTGGGTGAACGCCATTATCCTGAGAAAAGGACAGAGTCTGCCCCAAAGCCCTCCTCAGTTTACCCAATTTGCCTTTCCAACTCTTCAACTGTGTGCCAAACAACTCTTATTTTATAAACTGTTCAAGTCTGTGATACTCAGAAAATGGACTAAGATATATAATCTAATTTTTGTAAAATGAACCATAGGAGTAATAAACCACTCTTTAAAACTTTGTGTGCTTTAGAAATTAGAATGACAATAATTTTAAGTTTTTGTATACAGCTAATATAAAGAGACTAAAAGTTACTTAGTCATATGGATTGGGAAGTAAATAATTTTGAAGTCCATGTTCTAAGGTAGAAACCAGAAATTTTACTGGAGCAATCTGATCTGTTTTTTAACAAGACCTCTTCTGTATTGGTGAGCCTGAGACCTCTGGTCTGGAATAAAGATCAAATAAAATTATCTCCTTCCAAAATATTTCCTCTTAAAACCATTGGGCATGATGCTTTACATCATACACACAAAGAGAAGAAAGACAAACAGGAAGATAGATGAGAACATATGTAATCACTAACTATGGATCATGATTTTCATGGATGGCCTTGGAGATTTGCACATTACTGATTTTTAAAAAAATATTGTATTTATTATTTTTATTTTGTGTCTATGAGTGTATTGCTTGCATGTATGTAAGTGCACCCATGTCATGCAATGCCCATGGAGGTCAAAAGAAGACGTTGGATGCCCTTGGAACTGGAGTTATAGAGGGTTGTTAGCTGCCATATGGGTGCTAGAAATTGAATCTGATCCTCTGCAAAAGCAGCCAGTGCTCTTAATCACTGAGCCATCTCTCCAGCCCCTTATGTTATTGATCTTTAATCATAAACATAATATTAGAAAAAGATTAACCTAAATGTTTCATTGAGCTAAAATGTAAAATGGATCGGGAGCATGCCTTCTGTGATCAATTTTATTATTATACATCTTCTAAATGATTTATATCTAAAGTCACAAGCCTGAGTGATAGTATTTAATTTTTATAAAAATCATAGAAACATTTTAATGAAAAAGATGAAATTAAAAGAATATTATAATCATATTAACTGCTTAAAAGTTCTACAGATTTCTAACCTAAGAAGTCAATACAGACTCAACGCCTCCGAAGATTACAGTGAAGTCTCATTTCTCTCTCTGAGAATGTGCCTTAGATAATAGAATTAGTTTGTTCAGTCTCAGAAATAAGCAGCCAGATCTCAGCTGCAGATTGTCACCAGTCATCTACACCCATGCCATGCTGAAGTTCCATACTCTGTTCACACGTCTACCTCCATCATATGACCTGAGTGGTACAAAGGAACACATCAACTGGCTCTTCTTTGAACTAACAACCACACATTGTGGACATCTCCAAGGAATCCAAGATGAAAGTGTGGTTGAGCATTTCTGGATGCTAGTTTGTAATTAAAACATTACTATTTTTTTAAATTATGTGTGCACATGAGTGCAGTGCTGGAGTTACAGGATGCTGGGAGCTGCCTACCTAACGTGGGTACTAAGAATTGAACTAAGGCCCTCTGGATGAGCAGTCCATGCTCTTAACTGCTGAGCCATCTCTTCAGCCCAACTTTATGCTTTTTAAGTCAACAGATAATTAAAATAGGAAAATAACTCCAAGTAAAAGAAAATCTATATTTTTCAAGTATTTTTGAACTTCTACCCAAAAGTTAAGGTCAGGATTCTTACCCAGATAAGCCCATTTTCTGGAAGAACTGGCGGAGGACACCCTGAATCTGCTTCTTCCTCAGGAAGATCTACCTCTTTCATTTCTTCACCATCACTGATACATGGCTGTCCACTAAGAAGGAAAAAGAAATATGCATGTACATGTATGTCTTTATGTGTGCATATTGACATGTATACCCTCAATCTCCATATTTATAACATGCATGTATACAGATTAACAGAGAAACTTCTTTAGAGAGCCAAGGTTATCAGTAGACTTAGTGTTTCATTATTATGCTGTGTTGGCATATGTAAAATTATAAGTATTTCTTATTTGGTATTAGTAAATACAAACAAGTGATCTCTTCCCTCTTACCCGACCTTACACGTTTTCCATTATTGAAAATGTGCAGTCCTCCTCTTGCCGCTCCTCCCCCTCACAGAGTCTCCCTCCTCGCTGGTGGGCAGGGTTACTGCACTCTCGGGTTCGCGATCTCCTATGAGCAGCATTGCAGGTGCTCCAGGAAGACCAGCAGCCCCAGTTCCCATCCACTGCATCTGGAACAGAGGAAGACCCACTGCCATCCTGGTGCACATAGGAGAATTTGGGCTTTGAGGCTAGGACAAGCTGGTTTCCCAATACTTTTGCTCTGCGACATGCTTTATGGGATATTACAGGGGTTTAGTGAGAACTAAAATAAAGACTTATAAAGCATTCACATACATTTCCTAACTTCTTTTCCTGTTCTCATGGGCATGAATGAAATGACAATTATGAATCATTTTAACCATGAGTAAATATATCTGTACATGTATGCATATACACCTACACATAATTATATATATATATATATACACACACACACAAACACACATATATGTATAAATATGAAAATCTTATGTGTGGAACATATATCAAACTATACTTTCAAAGGTAGGAGAACATATTCTCACTCCCAGGTTTCATCCCCTCTCCAAGGAAAAATTGAGTTAATGCACTTAGGCCCCTACATGAAAACTTTGCTTTTGTGGCTTTAATTTAGCCCTTATTGCAAAATTATCCTGATTATACATGATAATACATGTAATAATATAGTTTTATAGTAACAATATTGTGTATTCATTTTACAATGTTTATTTAAATATTACAGACAATATATCATGTATTTTTTATATATGTCAAACATATACAATGCATATATTTTAATCCTCAGGTAATAATAGAATTATCCTCACTTTCTGGATGAGTAGAATGTAACTTGGAGCAGTTAGACAATTTTCCCTGGTGCTTTGTGGCTTATTGGGTACAGATGAGTCTAATACCAGGGTTGTTTGTCTTTGGAGTTTAATTTTTGAAGTCTTGTTTAATCTGTGAGTTTGCACAGGTGGAGATTGCAAGTAAGTTTTGTCTTGTTTAAATGGACAACCCATAATATATTTTGGAGAGGAAAAGGTGTTGACCTCACAATTAATCATTGATACTTACCAGATTTGTAATCTGGAGACCGTCTCTCACAGTTCTTACCATAGGTACCACTCCGGCATACACACAAGCATTCCGTCCCTGATAGCATGGGAAGGCCGTTATTCGGGCATGGAGCACACTGGCAAGGGTCAAATTTGGCTGAATATTCTTGGAATGCTTTCCTGAGGTTGTTCCGTTTTGTCACTGCACAGGGGATGTTTCTGACCAAGTCCATGATAGGGGCAAGCTAAGGACAGATGGCAGAGAGGTCCTGTTACTTCCCCTTGGGCAGTATACTGCATCTTGTCATCACTATCTAGTTGTCATCAAATCAGTGCTTAGTGGTAAATCTCACACTTCCAAGGAATTATCATAGAATCCAGTATAGGCATCTGGCTATGGAACCAGGAGAGAAAAGCCTAGTACCAGAGGGTGTGGGCAAGCCATGTAGAACTTACTATCCTTCCAGGTCTATTATGAAGGAAACCACATGCCAGATGTTTATTTGGACTTGCATCGAAGTGCTGAGATAGGTCACCAAGAGTTACTAATGCCTATTAGTGTTCCTCATTAGGTTTGAATCAGGAGGGGAACTCTGGAGATGATAAAGAGAGCTCTTTGTTTCTCTAAGGATGACATTGGCTTTTGTTGGCGCCAGATGAGGAAATGCGGCATAGAAGATGGAGAGGTGAGTTTGCCATTTGGATGAATGGAAGAATTGTTGTAACAAATAACTCAGGTAACAACAACAAAAGAAATAACCATCCAGTGCAGTACATGACTTAAAGGTGCCCATACGGACAGCTAGTTCCATGTGTTTTTTTGTTGCATGTAAATGATTCCATGTTCACAGTGACTGGACTCTTCTATCTCTATGCACATTAAATAAACACAAAAATAAATGTAGTAGCTTCTTTAGAAGCCTTTTAAAATGTGGTTATTTTATATGCAAAACTGACTCTATGTAACATAATACTGATGTGTAGACAAAGCATTCCATGAATAACAAAACCCACGTTTTAATGTAATTACAACAAATTAAAAAATGGCAAATTGAATTAATGGTGATGGAAACTGGAAACAAAATGAATCTAAAATTCCATTTGTCCCAGGTGTGCTCATGAAATGGAACTGCAAGAAAAAAAAAAACAACACAGAAACTAAATGTATTATGTCCATAGGGAGATGAAGAGCTCTACTTCCAGGCAAGATTGAGCAATTTCATTCTCTGAATTCCCCTTTTTGGTATTTTATGCATGCTAGGAATTTTAAATACTGTACTAGAATTCTTGTTTGAATTGCAAAAACAATAGATGTGCAATTTAACAGTTTTAAAAAGGTACATTGTGCATGCATATTAAAGAGAGACATTTCATTTATCATCTGAAGAAAATGGAACAGGAATAAAATAAAGTGCAATTTGGGCTTGTAGAAAACTGCTGTCCATCTCTTACCCCTGATACTTTTCAATCTTACCTCGAAATCAACCACAGAAGGATTTTCCTTCACTGATTCCAACCACTCTGAAAAGACTTTCTCCCCTGGACCAGAGCGCCCTTTCTCCCATGCCAAAGCTGCTGCATACTCACTCTTCCCACCTTGGACCAGGGATATGGATTTCTCTGCCCCCTGCAAAAAGGAACCTGCAAGGTGATTGAAGAAAATTAACCACTTAATTTTAATGGAAATGTATACTTTAAAGACAAGTCTCTTTCTCAGGAGAGCAAAGTTGATGGTACAGTCAGGGCGCACCAATAACTAAGCTCAGAGGAAAAGGAGAACAGTCCCTGACCCTAAAGGAGATTAAATAACACAAATTATAGTAACAGTGACAGTGATGTCAGGTAGTCAGCATACAGTACATGACAGGCTCTTTTCACACATTTCATAACTCACAACAACCCTAAGTAGATATTAGTGTCATTGTAGGTACCGAAGCTGACAGCAATATGTCTTGAAACACATAGCAAGAGGCAGCAGTGGGATGCAAATGAACCTCAGTCTTTGTCTTTACTATTTGAAAGCAAGTTCCAGGTTTTGGATTTATATTAGCCTAAGTTTAGGGTCCATGGAATAACATAAATATATGTTAGCTTCTGATATCAGCCAATTCCCTGCTATGCTAGAAATTTCCAATTCCAGGTTTAAATAAATGGGAGAATGTCTTCAAACTTAAAGAGGAGCAAAGACATTTTATATGAAAGAGAAAAAGATAAACAACAAACATGGGTAGGAAGTGAGTAGGGAGAAACAAAATTAATGAAAACAAAGCTAGTGATAAGGATGAGAGTTAATAGAGTGAATTCTGGTGCTTACGATACAATGTCAGTAGTTAGTAGGGGTTAGCCATGCCATTCCTGTTCAGAAATTCTCTAGCATGATATTATAGAATGATTAGAAAAGAGGGAGACATGCTGTCACATAAAGAAAGGAGTCTGGTCATTTTCAAAGGGAAAGCATAAGAAAATACAGAAGGGAAGTTCATGCCAGACCTTATGTTATAATGTTGATTAACAATGGCTCTGTCATGTAGCTCATATTTGCATTATATATGTATTATATATTTCATAAGAAGAGTGATCCCATTAAAAATTATGTGTGCTAGACATGGGTTTTGAGGACAGAGTGAGGAACATTCAATATTTCAATAAGCATTTTTTTCTCATTTCTTTCTGTTTTCTTACTGAATCTAGCAGAATGTTTTATTCAGTATGAAATCTGTGAATGCCTTGGTAAAGGGTTTTGTGTTGTTGAGAGGGGAACCACATACCATACAGCTTATTGAAAAAAATCAGAATCTTCTTTATAATTTCAAGAAAATTTCTTTTTAGCTTGGTCACAGAGTTTTCCAGTCTAAAGATGGAACTCGCTTACTCTTAACAGCTGTTAACATCATCCAAATTGTAAGTGAGATAGTAAGAATTGCTAATAGGATTAAATCCAAATATTTAAGAAAGGTATACAGTCTTGTTTAATTTAGAACAAACCTATATTCAAAGGTCAGTTTTACTTTTCAAATTTATGCTCAAGTCCAGTTGGCGTATTTATTAATTTTTTTACTAATTCTTTGATTTTCTGTGTTTTCACTCCCTCATCCATAGAATATGGGTAATATTTATACCAGTCTCACAGGGTTGCCACAAGGATTCAGAGTTCATACACATAATGAAATAGTGCCTGGGATCTTGTAAGAACTTAACTTACTTCTAGTATGTTAATCTTTCCCTCCCTCCCTCCCTCCCTCTCTCCTTCCCTCCTTCCCTCCCTTCCTTTCCTTTTTTTTCTTTTGCCCTTCCCTTCCTCCTCCCTCCCTCCACTTCCTCCCTCCTTTCCACCTTTCCTTCCTTCCTTCATGTATTTAGTGAAAGTACATCTATTAAACATTTTCTATGCTATAAGTACAGAGAACATAAAGACCATGACAACACCCTATATTTACTTACAACTTAGTATAGGAAATACAAAGTCAGTGCAATGCATTATAATGAATACTCCAATATCATGAATACAGTTTTCAGAGCAAACAGTAGGAGAGCACCAAACCCTAATTACACTGATGGAGGTGGCAGTTGGGAAAGACTTTCCTAACTGCCTGCTAAAAATTCTGATTTCATGATTTGCTTGCTTTAAAGACTGCATTGTTACTGTATTAAATATTTAAGCAGTTCAGAAACAATCCTTGCTGTTTTCATTTAGTGTTTTTTTTTACATATTCTACACTACATTCTGTTCTTACTGCCTCTTCTTGATCCACTTTTTCATTCTTGAGTCCTATATTTACTCACTGGGTTAAAATCTTAATATTAATCTTTAAATTGTTCCTAAACTCTGTATCTCCAATTCCTCTCATGATTCAGTTACACTGTGGGCTTTACGTATGAACAATCTTGGGTAGAGACAGAGGAAAAAGAGCCAAACTTTGTCTTTGGAACACTCACGTGTGCTTCGTCAATCTACCAGAAGCCACAGGGTTAAAGGTCATGATTTTCATGGTGAGAATCAATCTCTTGATAGACAAAAATAATTTTTCAGTTTTAAATGTTCAAATTTAAATATCAAGAGCCAGGCTTACTAGGACTCAATATATAGACATTATAATTTCAGTGTGTAATGACGTGGACATTTTCCTTTACAAAAAAAGAGGAATGTGGTTTTTTTATTTTTTGAGCAGTGGGAAGAATAGAGATTTAGATTTGATGGATATCACAGTAGAAATGACTTTGAATCAAATCTTGGAATGTTTGGTGATATAAGAGAAATCTAAGAGAAATGCATACTAATTTGTATCTAAACTTTCTCTAGAAGGAGTATGTGAATGGGTATCTTTATCCAATGTGGCATGCAAGCAAGTTTTCAAAGGCATTCGTAATTCTATGATATATGCAGAAAGTAGTCAGGAGTTTTCTAAAGCCCTGAAGAAGGTGAGAAAGTATTGAGAGAACATTATAGACACAAACTGTCCTAGTGCTGGTTGGAGGGAGGAATATTCAGAGGTTCTGGGCCTAGTAATCACAGGCCAAGGAAAGACTGCTGACACTAGAGCAGATGCCAGCATGTAGCAGTAGGAACCAGAGCAAGCCACGTTGCAGAGGCCAGCAACCAAATGCAGCAGCTAGCAAAGGTCCAGTTTTTCCTCTGATGTTAGGGTACACCTGACCCTCCCTCAACTTGTGTATATGCACAGGCATGTACCCAGTGAAGTTATCCCTGGGAATCAACAAAGAAGAAAAGTGATAGAGTCCTGTATTTAATGGTCCTTGGACAGGACCTCTTTATTAAACTTCATCCACCCAAGGCTCAGGGACTATCCCGGAAGAGAGCCTGGAAAGATTGTAAGAGCCAGGGAGGATATGCATGACCATACAGAAACAGAGTCCTACAAGCTCCTAGGAACCTGCTCATATGATCCTATGCCATAGGTGTCAGCATACACAACTCCCATGCAAACTCAGGCACTCAGCAACCCAGCATAGAACTGGGAAAATGAAGGGCAGATCCCAATCTTACCTGAAGGAATATTGGCAACTGATTGCTGCTAGATGAATAAGAACTGATCTTCCTAAAACAAGAGACTTTAGATAAGCTGACTAGACTCAGCGGATGGATGGACTTGCACTGGAGAATGTCTGGGGACGCTAACGACACAGTGGGCGGTAACAGGGATGACAGACTATGTAGAATCCAGTGGGGGGGGGCACGGGAGGGTGCCAGTGGGGATGGGGGTGTAAAGATAATTAAGATTGTTTGAGATGTTCTGTAAGAAATACACAAAAAATCAATAAAAATGTGAATAATAAATAAAATATTAAAAAAGTTAAAACCCAGAATGATTGGTTTATAGTATATAGGTAATTTTATATTTTCTACTGTTTAGAAGAAATGAACAGTTGAGAGATATATTGAATTCCATTTTGGAAATAAAAAAATCCTCTTTGGGTCTGGAGAGACAGTTCGGTGGTTAAGAGCAGAAGACCTGGGTTAGAATCCCAGCACCCACATGGTGGCTAACAATCATCCACATGGTGGCTAACAGTCATCCATAACTCCAGTCCCAGGGTATCAGACACCCTCTTCTGACCTTTGTGGGCATTGTACCATATAGGTGCACTTATATACATGCAGGCATAACACTCATACACATAAAATAAATAAATAAACAAATAAATTAAAAATCTTCTCTTTGAGCATATGAATTAGTGCAGTTTTTCTTCCATTTAACAATTGTTTGCCACTTTCATACACTTACATGGTGAATTTTAGTCATTTCCACCCCATCTCCCTTTTACTCCCACACATATACATACATACCACACATATATACATACACATAAACATGAATTATGCACACACTACACATACCACACACATGCACATACCACATGTACACATACTGCACACACATATATCATAAACCACATGCAACATGCTTACAATCATATACTACAGACCTACACACATATACATAAACATATAGAAATATACTACACACCACACACATATACACACATCACATACATACACCCAGTACACACACACCACACACACATACATACCCATACATAAACACATACCACATATATATGCACACACACACACACACACCACAAAACACACCTCCACATACACAATACCACACATCACATACACATATTCAAACCCACACCAACGTATATACCACCAATATGCTCCAATACTATATTAAAAATAATCCATTAATTAGTATAACAAAAATGTTTGTTTCTCATCTCTCTTTCTCATGAGAGTGTAAATTTGAAGTTTGTGAACTACTATGATACTGCTTCTTTTATTTCTGAGGAGGATGAATAGCAATCAGTCAGGCAGGTAAAGTAAGGGGATAAGAATTTTATATACAGTCACAGGTGAGAACATGACTTGATAGATGATGGAAAAGTTTAGCTCTTCAGAAAAAGAGGAAGAATTTTATCCATAAGTCCAGGTGGAGCCATGACATACTTAAAGCAGAGGCTTTCGTGAATAAGATTTGTTATGTAAATTCCTATTTATTTATTTATTTATTTTTGTATTTGTTTGTTTATTATTTATTTGTCTTTTTGAGACAGGGACTCCCAGTAGTCCCAGATAGCCTGGAACTTGCTATCTAGACCAGGTTGACCTTAAACTCACAAAGATCTTCCTGCTGGGATTAAAGGCATGTGCCACCAAACCTGGCATAGATTTATTTTTAAGAAATATTTTACTTATTATTTTTATTTTATGTGTATGAGTGTATTGCCTGCATGTGTGTAAATACACCTGTGTCTTGCAATGCCTGCAGAGGTCAGAAGAGGGCATTGGATCTCCTGGAGCTAGAGTTACAGTCAGTTGTCAGCCTCCATGTGGACACTGGGAATTGAAACCAGGTCCTCTGCAAGAGCAGTCATAGCTCTTAATCTCTGAACCAACTCTCCAGCCTCTCTTATACAGATTTTTTTCACAGAAATCCATAGGACAGACTGGAAGAAGATAAGACTAGTAGCAAGAGACCAGTCTGAAAGCATTTGTGATAGCCCAGATTGGAAATACTGTAGGGAAGATGTGCCCACAAAAATAAAAAGATGGACAGAAAATCCAGGCATGGTGGTACACACTTAACATCCCAATACTCAGGAAGGAAGTTGAGGCAGGAAGATTTCAAGGCCAGCTTGGGCTACACAGCAATATCTTGTCAGAGATAAGGGGAAAAGAGATGAGGGAGAGAGAGAGAGAGAGAGGAGAAGAGAGAGGAAAGGGGCGGGGGAGAGGATAAGGCAGCGAGGGTTGCCAAGTGATCTCACTTGGGACTGGTCCTCTTTCTGTTCCCAAGCACTCTCAGTCACTCTCATATTTAGAACTGCTGAATGTTTTGGTTTGGTTCCATGGGTTACAACTTGTTTGGCCTCTGGTTTGAAAATGATCTCAGTTTTGTTTTGGTCTCCTTTCTGGGTTAAGGCCTCTTGTTTGAGGGTAACTTTCTGTTCTGTTCTGTCTGATCTATTTCACAGCTATCTATGACTGTTAGAATGAGTGGTCCAGCCTTCATTGCTGGTGATAGCCCCTTTGGGTATGCTCTGGTAAACTGGTTTGACTATGCCTATGACTCTCTGGAAAAAAAAGAGTATTTGTTTGCATTCTCCCCAGGTATGCAAGAGAGGAAATTCCTTTTGCATCCCAAACTCAGTTACAGGGTTAACATATAAAGTTTTTGGCTTTATTTTCTCTCCCTCTGACTTCTTTCTTATACAAGACAGTCCACTGTCCAAGGTCATTGGAAGCTTTTGCTAGAATGTAGGATTATGTAACTCTCAGACACTTGTGAGACAAGGAAAAATAATATGTAAAGGAGCCTTTCCAGAATGTAAGAGCAGGAGAAAGGGGTGGAGTGTTAACTAGAAGTGTCCTCTGACCACTATGTTGGCAAGCGATAGTCACACCTCCTTCCCATGCTCATCAAGGAGTCGAGGGGGTAGTCAGTTACCTCTCCCACCCAATCAGTTAACCTTAGCTGCATGTAGGGACGGGCTAAGGATATATAAGCTGAGAATGACAGGATGCACCTCTCTCATCATTTTTTTGCAGGTGTCAGGAAGTCACAGAATCTGTATTTGAGTATGGACTTTGCAGTACAACCATAAATGGGGGACACCTACTCCTCTGTCAATAACCCTCCACCCTATGCTCTGTTAGAAAAAAAAGCAAATTGATAGGTGTTTGGATAGATAGATGAGAGGGATCTGACTAGACTGCAAGTGGATAGCCTTGCACTGGGGAATATCTTGGGACACTGACTTGACACAGTGGGTCTTAACACCCAGAACAGAGTATATGGGTTCCAGTGGGGAGGGTCTCTATAGGAGGGTTCTTGTGGAACCAGGCTATAAAGATGATTCAGATTGTTTGAGATATTCTTTATGAACTACAACAAAATTTAATAAAAACAAATGTTAAAAAAGAGTCTTTCCAGTAGCAATAAAGTCGGTCTAAGACTTACAATAAGCAAAAACTTTATAGTTTAACAATATGTGAACAGGTAATCTTTGTTGTATTATGTCATGAATATAGTTTGGAGACTGCAACATGGAATCAGATCAGACTAACTAGGACAGGTCTCACTCAGACAATGAGGGACAATCAAGGTCAAACCATCAGATGATTAATCAGTGATGACTTCAGAGAAAATTGTTCAGAGACAAAGGGAGAAGTTGCCAGAATCAAAATAAAGTCAGACTCTGCACAGAAGCACTTGTCTGAAATCCCAGCACTTGGTAAGTTGAAACAGAGGGATAAGGAGGCAGAGCCCAGCCTGGGTCTCAAACCCAACAATGAAAAGGGAGTTACGTGTGCCAGTTCCTCCCAAAGCAACTGAAGCCAAGAGTTTGTGGAAAGATGGTTCTTTATATATGGCACCTGACACTAACACAATGCCTCCTAACCTTGATTTCTATTTGTATTCTATTTATGTTATTTATTTCAGATACAGGTGTATTTCAAAAAATTTTACAACAAATCATAACTGCTTGCTGTTACATATGTATTCCCATGCACACAACTATGTGCCAGGAATTCCCTTACCGGTAAGAAACTGTGCTGACAATCAACCAGGTGCATTGTGTCAGGATGGCATCCTTCATGTGACACAATTCTTCTAAATATGTGTTACCGCTGAAGTGGGAATTAATTAGGGAAGGAGGGAGAGACGGGGCACTTTCATATTCTGCACATTTGTAAAATGGAATTTTGTAAAAAGGAATCTGCATGCACTTTCTATCAATAGCACATTGTTGATGACTGATTTGTTCTGAGTTAAACTCCGTGTCCTACCTCCAGTCCAGTTGCACTCGGAGAAGCCCAAGGAGGACAACAGCAAACACTCAGCACAGTGTTTCAAGAAGTGCCTGAGCCCAGACCTTCAGAGAATGAGGGAAGTGTGCAAGAAATGATACCAACAGCCATCCTCCACGTCTCAGAAGAGTGGGTTACCACCTGACCACGGGGGCAGGACTGCGCTCTGGTGTGGTTGACTGCCTTTGTAGTTATCCCCCCCCCATCCCATTCCCTCATCACTACAAAGTTGGCTGGCTGGAGATGGAATGCAAGCCAGCTTTTAAAACACATTAATCTGCTGCCTTCTCTGACCACAGGCTCTGAAAAAAGCAAAGATTAAAGATTCACTTCCTGTTTCTGCTCATTTGCCTTTGTGGTGACTGGCGGCATGAGTACCCATATTCTGATTACAGTTCTATATTTAATAGTTGTTTACCTATATATCCTTAGTTCGTAAGTTCCTTGATGGCAATGCCTGGTTTATAGTCAGGTTTACTTTGTAATATCTGATACTGAGTTCTATCCATGGGAAAAGTCAATGAATTGTTCAATGTATTGATCAGCTTAAGAATACGACAAAAAATGCCTTAGTCATTTCTACTTTTTAAGTAGTACTGATGGTATTTTATTTATACCTTCCCTTTGCCACACATGGAGTTCTGAGGCAGATAAATAAATTAAAGGAAAAGTTAAAAATAGCACAGTCATGTGCAATATGGTTATATTACAGGCAGCCATAGCACACCCTGGACAGGCTGCATGAGAGAGCACTGTTACCTTCATATTTTTCAGACAGCTTGTTAGTCGTGCACCGGTGCTCCACTTTTGTTTTCTTAAAAAAAAGAAAACGTTTCTTTGTTTCATACCGGACACAATTTTTGGTTTCTTCTTCTGTTAAACCTAGGAAATGAAATACAAACACATCCTCCTGAGAATGCACTGATGAGAATTCAAGGTAGAGAAACAGGAGGCTTCAAAAGTGGCCAGAGCTATTAGGAGAAATCAACCATTGGTTTGAAGCCTTCATGCTTCCTTTGCTTTTTTTTTTTTTTTTTTTTTTTTTTTTTTTTAAATTTCCCTGTAGCCCCAGCTATCCTGGAACTCACTATGTAGACCAGGCTGGCCTTGAACACACAAAGATCCTCCTGCCTCTGCCTCCCAAGTGCTGGGACTACAGGTGTGTGCCACCATGCCTGGCATCCTTTGCATTTTTAACTGTAACAAAAAAGATGGGTATTTCAGTTTTGTAGAATAAATATGTATCTATGGTAACATTGTTTTCAAAATTGAAATTGGAGGTAATGCTAGGATTTTAATGTGTCTATGGTGCACAATTCTGTTTCTCTTCATTCCCTTTTTGGAATTTATAAATAAAAATTAAATTTTATGTGACACTATAATACATGTTTTATTTAACAGACTTAATTTCATTTATTTGAGAGCGGTGTATGAATCATTAAAATCGAAAGGATAAATCTATTTCAAGACTTCACTATTGATTTTCTGTTCATGCCTTTTCTTCCCCATGTGCGGTGTGTCCTGCCAACTGCGACTTGGCCTTTATCCACGTTAACTGCCTGATGCTGAGGATCTACCTGATGCTGAGATACCTGACTATCCCTCTGCTGTGGCAAAGGGATCAGTACTTCCATAACATCTTCAGCCTCTTTTGACTGACCAAGTTGACAGCACCAGTCAAAACACTATGCTGAGAAATAGTGGAATGAAATTTTTTTTTACCTTAAATTCAGAGCAGAAGATAACGTCCCCACAAAAAGATTTCAAAATTACCATCTTGCTTATTATGATGTCTCAATTTCTTAATGTTTTCACTGTATTTCTAAAATTCCTTTCACCTTGTACACTGAACTAACATCAAATTTGAGTCAAGATTTTAACACACCTCTCGGACACCGAATAAAAACACTCAAGGGATGTGAGCAAAAAGCAATTTAATTTAATTTTATTCTTCTGGAGGGAGAAGAAGCCCTATGAAACATTCAAGTTTTTTTTTTCAAAATGAATGACAAGAGGTATAATTGTTTTTGAATAAGGCCTAAGAAAATGCTAAATCTATAGTCTAGTTTTAATCTTATTTCTAGATAAATAGAGAAGAAATGAAAAGACAGAAAAAGAGGTCAGAATACATATATTCATTTAGAATGCACACAAAGCAAGAAAATCCACCCAGTGGAGAATTCCATTGCATTAGGATTTGTTCTAGATGTGCTTTTTTTTTTTTTTACCATAATTGAAATCACACAGCAATATTACTGTGATTCAGAATTTCTTTGCTGATCATAATAATATTCAGATTATAAGAATATTAAATATAATGTTATTTAATATATGAAATATACGCATATGTACTAAATATATAAATATAGTATGCACATATGTACTAAATATAGGAATATAGTGGGTGTATGCATAGGATGGCTCTGTGTATATGTAGTGCATATGTGTACAGAGATATGTGTAGTATCAATTTCTAGCTTCCTGTAACTTATCAGCATTTCTTTCCTTCACTATGTATATCTGCTTGTCAATCTCTACCTCTGTTTGTAGAGAAAGAGATGACATCTAAGAGTGTTTTAGCAGGAAAACAGAGCCTGTCATTCATTTTGGTTAGAGGGCTTCAACTACTGAAATCTTGGGTGGTTGATTACTAATTCAGAAAGTGCTTTGACCTAATCGCTAAGCATTAAGAAGTTTGCTCTGAATGCATGATGAGCATGTTTATCAAGTGGGGGACCATTGTCTGAGATATAGCTGCAGTGTGCAGATAGAACCAAGTCAAGGTCAGAGGTTTCTCTCAACCACATTTTCTCAGGGCCAACACTGATGCCATTTGCAAGGGTACAAGACATCAGCTATATCACACAAGCTTTGCCTCATCAGAAATGAGGGATGAAATGAGACATGGGCAAGCAGTATTGGCAGCCCATCATGATGTAAATCTTTTGGATTTTAGCAAATATGTCAGATCAAAGTTTTTAAAGGCCTTCTTACTGAAAATTATGAATGGTGTTTATTTGATTCTTTTTTTAAAGAAGTAGTTCAGGAGAGATCTCAAGATTTTGAAAAACTTGCACATTAATATTTCCTATGATGAGATGTAAGAACACAGAACTGAAACTACTGATCCTTGGGATGGTCTGTTACTGTGTTTTAAAATGAATTTCTAGTTCTTTCTGAATAAAAGCTAATGATGATTAATATTTTACTTTTAGGGGGAATTTATGAGTATGGTTTTGAGTACCATTATTTCCCAATTTTTCATCTAGAGACACATGATGGATCTTCAGAAGGATTCTGTGTCATTTCACATAAGTGCCTGAAAACAAATACATGCACAAATTCACATAAGCTAACGAAATGAACAGTTATCAAAAGATAATGTGTGTGTGTGTGTGTGTTTATATAATTAGTATTGCAAATTTCAGATAATACTGAAGAGACCACAATGGTGTTTACTGTGATTTTTATGTATTGACAAAAAATACACACTGTTCCTTAAGACATAGCATTGTAATATTTCCTAAAATGAAAGAACTTTGCACTCGGTTTCAAGTTTTACCAGTTATGCATATTTGGTCCACATTAATGTACTCTCTTGTCAAATCTGTAATTATTCTTTCATTTTACACCCTTGATCTTTATTTAGAAATCATTAAAAGAAAATGATTGCTATCAAATTTGCTATAAATTGCTGTGATATAAGTTATCTAGTATAAAATATAATAAGTGAATTATTTAAAAGTTCCAGTACAACTTTTATTATTCCTGTGCTGGCAAGGTCCCACTTCTTAAGTGACCACTACTAACTTTAGGTCACAGAGGTTAATCATACTTATTTCTTCTTCTTTTTATTTTTCTGTTTTTATTTTATTTATTTCAATGTGTTTGCTTCTGATTTTTCTTCATTTCATTTTAGCAATAAAACAGATTTAAATAAAGTCAAAGAAGTGTAATTAAAATGGCAGAGTCGGAGGAAAAGATGAATTCCATGCTATCATCAGCCTGTTGAAAAAGTGAGATCTGAAAAAAAGTCAAAACAATTCACACACCTGAGTTCTGTAGCTCTTCATGGCTGAATTGGTAGAGAAGGTCATACACGCCCCCCAGGGAGCCCGAGGTGAAGTAGTGAGTTCCGAAGTCATCGAATATTCGGCTGTACAAAGCAGAGTTGTATTCTAAAGGCAGTTGGTTGAGAGCTTTCAGAAAGACATCGGAAAGTTGCAGATCCGTTGCTTTCATTGTGAAGTTTAACACTTTTACCACTTTATGAATCCTAATAAAACTAGAATCCTAAGAGAAAGGGGAAACAAGCATAAGAAAAGAAAAAAAGAAAAGAAAAAGGGGACAGTTAGAGGTAATGAAAACTTGAGATATCCATCCTTTAAATGCCATTAACTTCTCATTAGCCACATTCCCACAACAGAATGAAAGCAATTTTAGCTAGCGCATGTACTCTCATACAAAGCTGTAGTTTTCATTACATTCTAATATCTTTTCCCGAGCTGTTCAAAGTGCTAAACGGATTGTCTCAATAACGTACATTGCATGACTGAGGCAGATATTCTCTGCAATGGGAGATCAGTGGTCAGTCTTTTTGATTGCCAATATCACTGAGGTTTTTTTTTTGTTTGTTTGTTTGTTTTGTTTTTTTGTTGTTTTTTCTTGTCTTTCTGAGACGAGGTCTTCCTGAAGCCCCAGCTGGCCTGAAACTCTATGTGGACGAGGCTGACCTCAGTCTTACAAAGATTGACCTACCTTTGCTGGGATTAAAGGTGTGTGCCACTATGCACGCAGGACTGCACTGATTTTTTTAATTTAAAATTCCTAATGCAGAAACACAGTTTTCCAGGTCTCTGGGAACTTGCTCATATGAACTTACAGCAATGGTGCCAGCATGCACAAGACCCATGCAAGCTCAGTCAGACAAATACTCAGCACAGAACTGGGGAAATGGGCAGCAGACTCCAACCACACCCAAGGAACTATTGACAGTTAATTACTCCTGGGTGAGGGAGAGCTGATATTCTTTAAGGGAGAGGCTCTAGATAGGCTGACTAGACCCCAGTAGATGAACTTGCACTAAGGGATGTCTGGATACACGAACTTGACTCAATAGGTCTTAACATACATGAGAAAAGGCATGAAATCCAGTAGAGGGGTTATACGGGGGAATGAATGATTAAGGGTGTATAAAGATGATTAAGATGTTTTGTATGAAATGCACAGAAATTCAATAAAATATACATTGAAAAAGCGAATTCCTAATGCAAATAACACCACACACACACACACACACACACACACACACACACACACACGCACGCATGCACGCACATGAAGATTACATAAAGATTTACCTGGAAGTTTCATGAGAGTTATTAAAGTTACAGTTTCGTCACTAACCAGAAAGAAGCATTTAATTTCTCTAGACTTCAATTGCTCACTATCAGAAGAAAATGTGTACCAAATGACATACCAAAGAACACCACAATTTTCAATTACTAAGTGATGAAATTAGGCAAATATCTTTATATTTTCTCTCTTCCAGTCATATGCTGAAATGTGAAGGTATTTTTTAATTGTCATTTCTTTGCAAATGCATCTGCTTGCTTCATTATTCTATGAAGGTTACTTTGAGATTAGATGATTGATAGATACTATGCTAAAGTTTCATTCCTTTAGGTTCTCAAGTAGGTTTATGAGCATATTCATGCATACTGTGTATAAAAATTGTATATTTTATCTGAACTCTCCATTTTAGCAAATTGTGGTATATGAGAAATGGCAACAGAGCAATTTCCATGCTTAGCAAAAGGATTTTATTGTAACTGTTAATTATTAAAGAACCATCTTCACATCAAATAACTGCCAATGTAAAACCATAAATATTGCAAGGATCACGAGAACAATCATTCATTCTCTTCCTTCCCTCTTTCCCCCTTTTCCTCTCTTTCCTTCCCACCTTGCATTCAAGTCAAATTTTGTTGAGCGATCTCAGGTACACTGGTTATAGATGTGAACAAGGCAGAAAGAGTGCTTTTGTGAAGTCTACATTTTAGAACGAGCCCATTAATTCTATTTTTAAACTTTAACACTTGAATTGTGTCAGATATCCCCTAAATTTGGAATGATTTTCTGATTTTGATAAGAAACACCTGTCCCTGAGTGTCTGTAATCACTGTTAAAATTTCTAGTTTTCTTTACACACTAAATCATGGGGAATATATGTTCAACTTTGACAGCTGAACTCAGTAGAAGCAGAAGCATCATAGACTACTCATGACAGCATGAGGGCTGAAACCAATCAGTTTAGAATAGCAAGTTATATTACAGTAGGTTACGATTAATAGGTAATCTACTTAATTGTGAGATCTTTCTCTATTTGAATCATATTGCATAGTTTTGGTTTTGTAAAGTAAATGAGAAAAATCACCAAATCTTTCAAAATTGATTATATTTTCTTTGGACGAGAATTTTTGCCCAATAAATGACTAGTCAAATCTCGGATTGAAAAAAAAAAAAAAAAAGTAAAACTCAACAGAAGGGCTTGGTCTAATCAGCAAGGTTGTGACGTGTCACTCTCAGTACTTCCACACTGGTAAAGGCCTCAACAGCATTTTCAATGTAGGCAAAAGTTTCCTTATTTTAATCAGGTCTATGCCGCAGTCTGTATTCATCATGACATTGGGAGGAAGCATATGAGAGTGACAAATTTGAATGGCAAAATGGTTGAATAATATCAGTTTCATAATGTTTCTACTTTGGGGAAGACTATTAAGATCAACATATTACTGCTTATCTAAAGATAAGGGCTTTTATATGTTCTAGGGAGTAGGCTTTCTGGAAGGTGAGGTAGAATTCAGTGATATAAAGAGGGTACAGACTGTTTATTCCCGAATATAACACCTCTATCAAATGTATGTCTTCCAAGGCTCAGGGATCATTGTGAAAAAGAGGCTGGAAAGACTATAAGAGCCAGAGGTGTGGATGACCACAAGGAAATAGAATCTTCCAGACAGCTGATCAGTTACTCACATGAACTCACAGCAATGATGACAACATACACAAGTCCCACATAAGCTCCAATCAGACAATATCCCAGCATAGATATGGGGAAGTGGGTAAGAATCCCCAACCCTACCTGAGAAAGTATATGAAATCAGGTGGTACTAAGGAGACGTACAGATAGGGGAGGGGATCTAACTATTATCAAAGTATATTGTATGAAATTTGCAAAAACTCAATAAAATTATAAAATAAAAACTACAATCCATTTAAAGCCTATCTCTTCTCTAGATAATATAAATGTTTAAAATATTTATAATCAATTTTCTGAGTTTTTCTTAAAGATATGGCTGATGCCTACATCTTTTGTACATCTCCTCAATAGCTCCATTTCCTTCCCTTCTTTAGCTGTAATTTTAGGCAATTATGTGTAGCTATGGAGGCTGTATCAGGGTGAATGGGGGATTTTTATCAAAGACCAGATGCCTAGATAATCTGAATCAGTAGATAAAAAGAAGGGTGTGTGTGTGTGTGTGTGTGTGTGTGTGTGTGTCCGTGTGTCCATACATTTTCATTTCCTAGTAATACTGATATTAACTTGTCTTACAAATATATCTTAGCAAGTTTGGGAGATATATATGACCCATGCATTGCCCATTATAAACTGAAGCAGCAATATGTGTTCTTAAAGGAACTTACTTTACTTTAATTTTCATATGTTTATATAACCAGAATTATATTTTCCATAATCTTGTTGAAATTATGAAAAATTAGATACTGACTGTCTAATAGCATGAGGGATACTGTTACAGAGAAGAACAGTGGACAAAAATCAGACTGAGCTCAGTGCCCAACTCTGGCATTTATCACTATGAGATCACTGAAAGTTGGGCCAGGGAGATGAGTCAGCTGTGAGGGCACTAGACATGCAATTGTAATCACCTGAGTTTGATTCTTGGAGCTTTTAACTATTGAAAAGCTGGAAAGCATATGTAAGAGACAAAACATGCAAAGAATAGGAGAAAAAGGAGGGTATGAAGAAAAATTGACTAGTACATTCCCTTATACATTAAAAAAAGTTCTGCAAACTTGTGGCATGATAAAAGGAAAAACAATCAAAAGTTAGGCATACCTTAAATTCTAAATGTAAAAAGTATGATTTCAGATAGAGAGAAATAACATTAAAAGCTTATCTTGATTCTAACCCTCAAATTCATCAAAGAAGCAATAGAAGAGATTAGTGGTTAGAAAGAGCTGAGTCTGTTTAGAGCTATAAGAATGTCCTTCTCTGCCTAATAGGTATTAGATTATGAAAACTGTTCTCAAAAAAATCTTTAAAGGGAAACATGTTGCATTCCATTAGCTATGACATGTTCTCAGTGAAAAATAAACTAGCCTCAGGAAGAAAATGCCTTTCAATAAAAACCTGTTGAAGGAAGATAGGCCCGCCGATAACTGTCATTTTCCACCAAATAAAATTTTGAATGTATGCCACATGCCATCCTGCACCAAATCCTCTTTGCTCTGTCTCCCTCTCTATCTCTTTGCAGAGGAGAAAGGCATCTGAGAACCAAGTGATTGACACCTTATCTTCTATTAAGTGATTGAGATCTCAGCTCCTATTCTCTGAGGCATCCCCATTTTCCAAATTTTAGAAAAAGTACCAGGTCAAGGATGATTTTTCTTGATATACGTAGTAAAATGATCTCTGCCTTAAGTGTCCAACTAAAAGATAGACTAGGCATGCTTGAAGAAAGGTCAGATGCACAAAAATTCAATAAAAAATACATGGAAAAAAAAGGAAAGTCAGATGATTAACAGGATCACCTCAATTCAGAGCACATGCTAAGCTTTACACCTTTCACTAGATGCTATAAATACAAAGGCAAATCAAATATTTTCCTTGTAAAAAGCTTATCTTCACTTATGATTTTTTATGCAATAAATGGAAACTAGAAGGCAGTGGAATAGCATCTAACAATTATCAGAAGATGAGAAATGTGGTACAGCAGGATTGAAAAAAAACCCTCAATGTTTAGGCAAAAGGCAAGTCATTCTAGATTACAATGATTTAGGGACTATAGCTTGCATGTAGCTTATCTGGGGAAAATTCTAAAAAATGGCTACTGAATGGGATATTGCAAGAAAAGGAAGTTGAGAAGAAAGGAAATGGTGATACAGACGCACAAGAAAAATACACACATGAACTACAGACGTTGTGATATTATGTGAGAAATCTTAGAGAACTGTTGAACTAAAGCATGCATTAATACATATATAAAGTAAAGCAAATATAAAACAATCCCTACGCATGGCCTGGAACACAAAGGCTTTTGGCTGTCTCACTAAAATTATGGTGTTGGAAACCTAGAAATGGGGAAGTAAATGTGTTCTCACTAAAATAATAGGAACGGTACATGGGCAATAGGTAAGTAAAATGTCTTTGGGGGAGATATAGATGTATTTCTTATGATAAATTAAGAAAAATACTGCTGGGTGGGTGTGCTAGCACATATCTTAATCTCAGCATTCTGGAGGCTGGGGAAGATGGATCTCTCTGAGTTCAAGGTCAGCCTGGTCTACATAGTGAGTTCCAGGCCATCCAGGCCCACAGAGTAAGAACATGTGGTGCAGAATGAGAACACTCCAAGCTCTTGAGGAATTAGCACATGCACATTTTTTATACTTAAGAATGAGCCCATCTCCATTTGAATAAAGACTAAACAAATTAATTCTTTAGATAAATCTGTTTATCTTACATAAACTACACATATAAACCATATACACAAAAATAATATCTATATTTATAAAATAAAAGCAGAAAGGAGACTGTGGGAAAGATTAATGTGAGGGGCAAACAGGAGAGGGTGGAGAGGGAGGGAATGGGAGGAGGGTGAGTATGGTGAAAATAAATGATATGCTTGAATGAAAAGTTCCATATGAAACCCAACATTATGTACAAAGAGTGTACACCAATAAAACATATTTATCCTGATATAAAAAACAAAATAAAATAAAGCAAAGTATAACAAAACAAACTAAACAACAGCAAAGGAAAAATGTAGCTTTAACTATGCTTATTAACTAGAGAAAAGTAACTACACTCAGAACTTAAAAGTATAATAGAACTTCCAGAATGACCCAAAAGACAAGTTAAGAGATTAAAGTGTGGGTCATGAATAGCCAGTTAGGAAATAAGAATATTCTGTATTCAATAATAGTGAATTTAGAAAATGAACCGTGGAAAAGAATACAGTCCAGTGTTTCAGTGAGTGCACTAAGTGTAAGTTGCCTGAACTTCTCTAGTGAAGGTCTGAAACAAATTGCATAAAAGAATAAGTTCTGTTATTTGTGATCTATAAGAAACATATTTATGGACAGGGAGACTGCTCAGACCAAGGCACTTGTCAAGCCTCACAGCCTGAGTTTGATCCCAAGACCTAAAAGGTAGGAGAGAAACAGCTCTCAAAATATTCTCTTCCCTCCACAGGCACACTGTGGCATGTGTGCACAGGCACATGCATGTACACACAACAAATACATGTGATACTTTTTTTTTTTTTTTTAAGAAACACATTGGGACAGGAGAGATGACTCAGCAGTTAAGAGCACTTGTTTTTCTTCCAGAGAATCTAACCCTAGTTCCCAGCACTTACACCTGGTGGCTTACAACTGTCCATAACTCCAGTTCCAGGGGATCTGACGCCCTCTTCTGGCTTTCATGGAGACCTGCACATACATGGTGTACACACACATACATGCAAATAAAAATAAAAATAAGCCTTAAAAATTTATAAAAAGAAACACATCTACAATGCCATGGCATGGAAATTGAAAATAAAGCAAACAAAATTAATGCAGTCAAATACTTAGAAAGGAAACATCATATACTACTTCTGTGTGTTTTAAAGTGGGGTTTAACAAAAGAAAAAAAAATCTATTCAGGCACCTGTTAGATACCTGGTAAGATATTGACGCTTTTAGCTTCTTGTTGTTCAATTGTTTCAGCTGATGTTAATTTTCAAGGGGAATAAAAGACTGGGACTAAAACCATTTTCATTACCTTTTTGTGGGAGGACTGAATGGCTTCTTTGATGGCCGAGTTATGCTTCAAGCTTTCACTTTTCTTTGAAGAATAAAACAATGGCACACTCCAAGAATTTTTCTTTGCATTCGACGAACCAGAAACGTCATTTTTGTTCTTTCCAAGAGAAATTAAATCCTTGTAGAAATCTGTTTCCAAATCATCTTCCACAGTTTGTACCTGGTAAAAAATTCATATGAAATAAGAGATACCTTGGGAAGTACACACCAGAACTTCTTGTCTCATGTGATGATCATCATTTTATTTATACACTCAACAGGTAAGTATTGAAATTCCCTATTACTGTAGAATAAGGGAAAAGAGGACAACATGTTAGCATGCAGGGAGGGGGTTTAGGTGTCTTGGACAAAAGCTCACAGAAAATTCTTATGAAATGTATTAGTGAAGAAGGCAGCAGATTTTTGGGTGAATGGTGATTTAAAAATTTCCAATAGACTGGGAAACTGAAGCCAGGGCTTATGACATGTCTTTCTTAAATATTTGGATTCATTTCTAATGGCAAGATTTTACTTGTAATGAGTTAATAATAAATATTAAGCTAAGGAAAAAATATTTAATGTCAATCACATTTGTGATTGTGTTGTAAGGCTATTTATAAAATAAATCAACACAAGTTGTAAAAATAGATGTAGGTAACCTAAGAAGGAAGAGATGGTATAGAGGATCATGTAATGACACTCTGTAAAACCGTATGAAATATACTCCTCTTGAGAGTATAGGTGCTATGTCTTCTGTTGAAAATTATAGCTTTGATAGTAAGTTTGTGGGCTGTTTGTTTAGGCCCAAGAGCATACCCTCAGCAGAATAGCATATGTGAATATTTAGGTCTATTTCCATCTTCAAATCCTGCTCAATATTGCACATCTTAAGGATACTGTCAGCAGTCTTCCTAGAGGTATTAGAATATCACATTGGACCCCAAAGCCATTCTCCAAACTCATTCATTAATATTATTATATGGTTTGAAATCAATTGTATCAGATTGGAAATGTCTGTACTTACATGTATAGAGTTGTCTTTTTAATTTAAATTTTTGAAATTATGCGTGCATGTTTGCATTTACTTATTTGTTGATTTATTTATTGCATGTATGTACATGAGTGGGTTTATGTCAGGGCTCTCATGTGGGGGTAAGAAGACAACCTGCAGGAGTTAATTTTGTCCTTCCACAGTGTAGGTTCTGAGAATTGAACTTAGGTCATCAGGTTTGGCAACAAGGATCTTCATGTACTGAGCCATCTTACAGGCCCCCAGAGAGGCCTTTTGAAAGAAATAATGAATGATTTCTTGCTGAATACACTTTGCTACCATAAAGTGGTTCTCACAGACTGTTGGATTCTGAAATTCTCTCTAGCATGTCAAATTTGCATGCATGAATGTCACCACTAAAAGTATGTATTTCATGTTTCACTAACCAAAAATTGAAAGAAATAGATAGCTCATTTTAGTGTAACAAGAATGGAACACTCATTTTATTTCTTTTTCTTTTTATTTTTTACAAAAACTTTATTGAGAATTTCATACATGCATATAAGGTGTTTTGATCAAATCCATGCCCACTCCCTCCCCTCCAACAGTACCCCCTCTGAAGAGGTAACCCTAAAGTCTTTTATGGATTAGATACAAGTTCCCAAATACTTTTGACATTTTTGGCCATGGAACAGAGTATGTTGCTAACAGGCCAAAGGACATATTGACTTTTACCCAAGCAACTGGCTACATTTCTTTGGGGTCTTTTTTACCCTAACTGCCTAGCCAGTTCCTACCTCCTATTCTTATCACGCCATCCTCTGAAGGGGTTACCCAGATTGCCAATAAGGAATAGGGACACCGACTGCTCTGGCTTATTCCATGCTGAACAGGGATGCAGGGTGAGGCAATTGGAGT